CAGAACGACCAAACCTATATATGGGAGCGATACTGTACTGTGTGCCCCCAACCTAGGGACGATTTGCGGCCCGTGCATTCGGGTCTTCTGCTTGTCTTTCGCTTGTCAAATCTGTCTTTGGAAGCGAAGGTGGTGCAGTGCTGGAATCGATCGATGCCGATGCCGATGTGGTGCGCGTGAAGAAGAGGCTGTCAGCCGCAGAAGGATGTCTCACTGGGTCTATGTCGTGTTCAGGTAATTTCTTGTCCATGTCTCTTTCTGAATCCCTCTCTCTCTCTTTTCCTCTTTCTTTCTCTCTTTCTCTCTCTCTCTCTCTCGCTCTCGCTCGCTCTCTCCAGAATGAGTCTGCGACACACGAGAATAGAGGGCCATGTGTATACATTCGGAAAGAGGATAGCTTCCGGCCCGTTCCCCCAGCACCACGGCGTCAGCCTGCATTAGTAATCAAATCCGTACTTTGGATTCCGATCTCTTCGGCGCGCGTCGTCTAGATATTCGCTTCTTCTGAACGTCGGCGAATATAATTTCGTTTTTTCTCGGCCCTTCATCCACCATCTACAGTATACATACAATACGTTGGATACGCATTGCTTTTCTTCTTGGCGACTGTTGCTTCTATTTTCTTCCTCGCTCCCTTCCCTAACCCCTCCATCGCCCCCTTGCCTTGTGGTAACCGAGGCGAAGAAAAAAAGAAGGCGTCCTGCAGCTCGACGAAAACTACCAGCCCTGCGTGTTGCCGCTTACCTTCTCTCCCCCCCCCACCCCAACCCCCCACTAAACCATTGGGATATCTGCAGTGTGCCCCGAAGAAAGCCTCCCCGCAATCGCCGTCTCAAGAAAAATTAAAGACCGTTTTTTTTCCCACCCATTCAGACGTTCGCTCGGGCCGCCCCGTGTGACCCTCGGGCTGTTGGACAAGTCACACGAGATTTGTGTGAACGGTCGTTTGGAAAATGGGTCTGCTGTGAGATGTTGGCCTGCTGTGTTGTCTGTGTCGCCCTCGCTAACGGAGGTTGTAGTGCGCTTGGGACGCCGCTTGACTGGCCAGAGGCCAAGAAGGTCGCCGACCAAGTCAGGTCATGGGGAATCGAAGTATGTGATTTTGTGTCCATTGGGCTGGTGTGAGAAGTTGGTAGTAATTTGTTGGTGTTAGCAATTACTGGCCATTTGGCGGAATGCCAAGGGCAAGGAAAGGGATGCCCTGCGTTGGGGAGACGAGGTGGGTTCAGGCATGGCAGCATGCCGACGACGAGATTCGGTGCTGATGTGAGGGTTAGGTTGAATATCTGGTCGTCTGTTACGATGAGGAGAACCGCAAGGTTCGACTGTCGCTCCGGCAAGCAGATATCTTGGCTGCGTTGGCGAATGATGAGAAGCTCTTGCAGCAAGGCAGCGGAGTACCTGACCTGCAAACAGGAGATGCCGCGTGAGATGAGATGGAGACTGTCTGCTGCGCTGAGCTGATCGTCGTAGGGCCAAGGAGAATCCCCCACCGGTATTCCACCCAGAGTTTGGGCGGTTCATGCTCGAAGCCACGCCTGGAAAGCCTTGGGGCATTGGCTTCAAGGATCTTCTTGATGTTGAACCCAACATGAAGTCGAGGTACAGGGCTGTCTATCCACCGTGCTCGATCAACCTCTGACATTTCCGCAGACGGAGGATTGCTAAGGATCACATGGACAGCACCGAATTTCCCATTACATTGACTACTTTTCCTCGACTTGGGTCAGCCGATTGTATAGTGCCATCATATCCAGTCTCAGGGCCCAAGCTACGTTCCCAGTTTGTCCCTGACGAGATTGCTAACCCGCACATTCGCTTCCCAACGCTGGCCGCTAACATTCGCTGGCGACGAGGGAGGAAGGTGCAGGTCAATGTGCCCGTTTTCAAGGACGAGAATACGCCCTGGCCATGGAAAGATCCTACTGTCAACTATGATCTCCATCAATGGCCGGAAGATGACGATGTGCGTAATGGTGCTGCTCCAGACAACTTCATCCACATGGATGCCATGGCATTCGGCATGGGTAGCTGCTGCCTTCAGATTACCTTTCAAGCGAAAAACGTTGAAGAGGGGAGGACTATGTACGACCAGTTGAGCCCACTTGGGCCCATTCTTCTGGCTCTGACTGCGGCGACACCAATCTACAAGGGCTTCTTGGCCGACACTGATGTCCGCTGGAATCAGATCAGTAGGTCAGTAGATGACCGTACACCAGAGGAGTTGGGAGAAAAGGTAGGTTTTGTAGTCACGTGTGTGATGGCCAGCGACTAATGTATGTTAGCCGCTTCAGAATGATCGCTGGCGACTACCAAAATCGCGCTATGCGTCCAACTCGACATATATCTCGCAGGATCCACGCCTACGCCCAGAGTACCTCGATCCTGATCTGATCGTTGATGAGGCCATCAAGAAGCGCCTGGTAGAAGGTGGCATGGACGATCTTCTAGCCACACACTTTGCTCATCTCTTCATCCGCGACCCCATTGTCGTCTTCGCCGAGGACCTCGAAGAACTCGATCTGACAAAGGCCGACCACTTTGAGAACCTGCAATCGACAAACTGGCAACACATGCGCTTCAAGCCGCCGCCCGCGGGCTCCGACATGGGCTGGCGCGTCGAATTCCGGCCCATGGAGATTCAAATCACAGACTTTGAAAACGCGGCGTTTTCCATCTTCATGGTGCTACTGACCCGCACCATTCTCTCGTTCAACCTCAATTTCTACATCCCCATTACGCTCGTGTCGGAAAATATGGAAACCGCACACGCGCGCGACGCCGTCTCGACGCAGAAATTCTGGTTCCGCAAGAACCCATTTGGCTCGCACAGCGGGAGTAGATCCAACGGTGCAACGGGCCCGTCGACACCCGCCGCCAGTCGCCCCGCGACCCCAGGACCGCTGGGCCCGGTGGAAGACGAGTACGAGCAAATGACCATCAACGAGGTCATCAATGGCCAATCGTCCACGACTGACGGCGGCTTCCCCGGCCTCATCCCCCTCGTTGAATCCTACCTGAACAGCATGAATGTCGACGTCGAAACCCGCTGTGATCTCGCCACCTATCTCGATTTGATTCGCAAGCGCGCCAATGGCACGTATTGGACGGCGGCCAAGTGGATCCGCCACTTTGTGCACACGCATCCGCGGTATCAGAAGGATAGTGTGGTGGACGAGGAAATTGCGTTTGATCTTGTCAAGGCGGCGGAGCGGATTACGAGGCAGGAGGGGAGGGATGGGTTGGGCGCGGAGATGTTGGGGCGGAGGCGTTGATGTGGATGGAGTCTTTGTGGATGGTGATGGTGGTGAGCTGTGCCTACTGGTGCCTGGTTGGTGGATTATGCATGGAGAAGAGGGAGCTAAGATGGAACGCCGCATGATCTCAACGTTGATTTTGACAAGATTCAATGTGATTGAATGTATTCTGAGTACATGTCCATGATAGATCGATATCCATATCCATATTCATATCCATATTCAAACACCCTCTCACACACCTCCTATCCCCCACTCAGTGACAGAAGAGGGAACTCTCGTAGGAGAGGAAGCCTTGCGAGGCCTGGCGGGGAGGAGGGGGTTTGTAGCGCCGTCTTGTGCTATCATGTAACATATCGTGTAGATAGTATGCTAGACCGCTGTGCCATGCCGTGATATATCGCTGCCATCTCATACCTCGAACCCCCAGCTCCTCTCCCATACAAATCCACCACCACCACAAAGCATCACACATCGCACAAACAACCCAACCCCACCCCAAACCGCCCCACAAAAACCCCTCCACATCCCCACACCCCAAACCATAAAACGAAG